ATGTCTGGTCCCTGGACGGGACGCGGAGGTTCTAAGTGGCCTACCCCAAGAGGTAGTTGACACCATCACTTCAGCAAGGGCACCGTCTACGAGACACGCCTACGCTTTGAAGTGGAGCCTGTTCGTTGAGTGGTGTTCTTCTCGCCGAGAAGACCCCCGGAGATGCCCGATGAGCTGTGCTGTCCTTTTTGCAGCAAGGGCTGGAGCGAAGGCTGTCTCCCTCCACCCTTAAAGTGTATGTCGCTGCAATTGCTGCTAACCATGACCCCATACAAGGGAGGTCGCTGGGGAAGCATGACCTGGTCGTCAGGTTCCTTAAGGGGGCGAGAAGGTTAAATCCTCCACGGCCGCCCTCTATCCCTTCTTGGGACCTGACTCTAGTGCTCACAGCACTACAGCAGGGCCCATTTGAGCCTTTGCAGGCAGTTGAGCTAAAGTTTCTTTCAATGAAGACTTTGCTCCTGCTAGCATTGGCCTCCATCAAGAGGGTAGGGGACCTGCACGCATTTTCGGTCAACAATTCGTGCCTAGAGTTCAGGCCGGCTGATTCCCAGGTAACCCTGAGGTCCCGGCCCGGCTACGTGCCCAAGGTTCCCGCTACTCCCTTCAGGGAGCAGGTGGTGAACCTCCAAGCGCTGCCTTCGGAGGAGGCAGACCCAGCCCTGGCTTTGCTCTGTCCCGTCCGAGCCTTAAGGTGCTACGTAGACCGGACACAAAGCTTCAGGACCTCAAATCAGCTCTTTGTCTGTCACGGAGGCCGGCAGAAGGGGAATGCCGTCTCAAAGCAGAGGATGGCCCACTGGATAGTGGATGCCATCACCCTGGCTTATCAGGCACAGGGTGTGCCCTGCCCACTCAGGTTGCGAGCTCACTCAACTAGAGGTGTTGCATCCTCCTGGGAGCTGGCTCGTGGCGCCTCGCTGACAGATATCTGTAGGGCTGCGGGCTGGGCGACCCCTAACACATTAGTTGTGTTCATATTACAGTTGAACCGCACCAAAGTCCATTTGGAACTTTTGTTGGCATTGTTCACACTTATTCAAATGAACCGCATTAACAGAACAATTGCACCAAAGTTCATTTTAATCCAACCAAACCTGCCAAGTGTAAACGTCCTGATACACAAACATTTAATTCAGATGTTTTGATGCCTTCTATCCCCACTACATTTTTTAGGTTTCAGACACAGCTATGATAAACTCTCATAGCTCTGTTTATTCAGCTGTTATGTTGTTATATTATAACAGCTGTTATATTATAATACA